ATGCATCCCACCACCACTGTATCATCTGCAAACTTTACAATGTGACAGCCTGGATGGGTAGCTGCACAATCATATGTGAACAGAGTGAACAGGAGGGGGCTCAGCACACATCCCTGAGGGGAGTCAGTGCTGAGGGTTATGGTTGCGGAGGACAAGTTGTGGATCCTCACTGACTGAGGTCTGTTTGTTAAGAAGTCCAGGACCCAGTTGCAAATGGAGGGGCTTAGTCCTAGTGTGAGTAGTTTGTCCATCAGGGTTTGGGGGATCATGGTGTTGGAGGTGGATGCGAAGTCCACAAAGAGCAAATGGACGTAGGAGTTCTGCTCCAGGTGGGTGATCTGTGGGCAGCTTGAGGTAAATAAGATAAAACATGCTTATATGCAAAATGAGGTACATTTTCTTTTTCTCTTCAGTTGGAACAACACAAATTCATGACATGTTTACATTGTTATTTACATTGGATATATATTATTTTTAATATTATATTAATTCATTCATTCAACTTTTATTTCTACAGGTTAGTCTCATTACAATGATGACAACATATTACAACATAATATTTCTCCATTAATATTATCATTAATGGTTTTTCACAAGTTTTATATAATCAGCCCTAACGCCTTGCCCTCTTTGGGGTGGCCCCAACCTGCCGGTGATGCGTTCAGGACTGTGGGAAAAATGCCTTCTCTTTGAAACGCTCGTGAAGATGATCAGTCATCCATTAAATCCAAACAAGATGAAAAGCAAAAACAACTGGACTTCTGTTGCTGAAGACGTTTCGCTTCTCATCCGAGGAGCTTTCATTTCTTTGAAAATGTTATGAGAAATATAAAGAAAATGTTTCTACAGAAGTAGAATAAATTCCTCGACATATAAGAATAAATACGATATGATAATAAGATAATAACCTGTCTAAATAAAGGTTGAATGAAAAAATACAACATCTGTATGTCAGTATTATAAATACCTAATACACAAATACTGTACACAAAATTATTTAAATTAAGGCTTTAAAGTATTCTTGATCAACCCATTTCCCTCTCATTTGTAAATGATGTCGTTGGTCACATGAAACCTGAGGTTCCTCTGCTGATCCGTCCCTGCAGCGTTTGTTAAAGAAGTTCTAGATTGGATCCTCTCTTCTTGCTGGTATAAACAGCAGTTTGGCTACAGGTGTGGTTCCTGATATCTTGAAACATGCACTGGTTTATCTATTAATTAAAAAACTGGACTTGACCCTTCAACTTGATCTAATTCCAGATCAATCTCAAAACTCCCCTTTCTTGTTAAAATCCTGGAGAAAATAGTTTTTATTCAATTAAAAGAGTTTTTGAATGAGAGTGGTTTTTTTTGCGATGTTTCATTCTGGTTTGAAACATTTTCACAGCACGGAAACAGTGAAGGTTTGTAACGACATTCTGTTCAATGATTCTGGTCCGTGAGTTTGTGATTATGGTTCTCCTCAACCTTACCGCTGCTTTTGACACTGTTCACCACAGCATCTGGTGGACCTGCCTTTATGTGTCTGTGTTCTACTTCCTGGTCCTCTCAAATCCAGCTGATGGCCAGCAGACGGCTGCTGGTCCTGATCCTGGTTCTGCTGGAGGTTTCTTCCTCATGAGGGACTTTTTCCTGCCCACTGTCGCCTGTGCTCACTTAGGATGGTAGACTGTGACAAAGTGAAAACTCAAAGCAATCTGCTGGCTCCTTAGATTAATATTGTTATTCTCTGATTTTATATATGTGAATGTTTCTGTTCAGTGCCCTGAGACGACTTCTGTTGTGAATTGATGCTCAATAAAAAAACTGAATTGAATGGAGTTATGTCGAGGTTAGAGGTTGAGATTACAGGTGCAGCATTACAATGATCCAATCTTATCTGAGTGACATGAGTTTGTGTTAATGTTGGTAATAGTTTATCTGCTTCAGTGCCTCTTTCCTGTGGTGTTCCGCAAAGCTTAATTCTTGGATCCTTCTGTTTTCACTGTATCTGCTCCCTTTGAGGTCTATCCTGAGGAAACATGGTCTTTCATTTCATTGTTATGCTGATGATTGTCAGATTTATCTGCCCTTTAAACCCAGTAGTTCCAGCTCCATTCACCCTCTGTTAAAATGTCTTGATGGCATCAAGACATGGATGGCTTCAATTGTTTTAATTTTCATCGATCAGTAAACTGAAGTCCTTGTGTTCAGTCCTCGCTCCACTGCTGTCTCTGACCCTGTACATCTTGACTCTCTTCAGTCACGTCTGAATCAGTCTGTTACAAACCTCAGGATGGTTTTAGACTCTGACTTTAAGTTCAATAAACAGATTAACTCTGTTCTGCAGAAAAGCTTCTTCCACTTAAAGCAGATAGTTAAGATAAAGTCCATGCTGACCAGATCTGACCTTGAAAAACGAGTCCATGTCTTCATTACAACCTGACTGGACTGTAACTCTTCATGTTGGGGTCAGTCAGGTCTCCCTTCACGTCTCCAGCTCGTCCAAAATGCTGCAGCTCAGCTCTTAACAGGAACTCTAAGGTTTGAGCATATTTCACCAGTTTTGTCCTCCCTTCACTGGCTCCCTATACGTGTCAGAATAGATTTTAAACTTCTCCTGTTGACCTTGAAGTGCCTAAATGACCTTGAACCCTCATATCTCTCTGGTCTACTTCAACCAGATGTTCCTTCTTGGGCTGAGATCATCTGATCAGCTGCTTTTGGTTGAAGCTCAGAGGAGATCAGGCTGTTTCAGTCGTGGCCCTAAACTCTGAACAATCTGCCCCCCCCCCCCCCCCCCCCCACATCAGACAGGCCACTTCACTTCCTGTTTCTAAATCTCACCTGTCTGACTTTTAACAGTGTGATTTGGTTTAGTATTTTATTGTTTTATGTTTATCTTTTGATGCTGTTAATTAATTTTAGTCTTATTTTGTCATTAAATCACTGCCATTGATTTTATTGTGAAACACTTTGGTAACAGCTGCTGTTTCGAATGTGAACGTTTTCTCTTCTTCAGGGTCGCCACAGTGAACTAACACTGACGAAGACTTTCAGATTGTTTTTACACCAGATGTTCTTCCT